CCAAATCTGAAAAATAAGAAATGCATTAAAAAACAATAGATATAGAAATTGGCTTTAATTCTTGTATTGTTTTTTTTCTTATTAAAAAAAGACATCCTAACTTTCTTATAAAAAGCCACACATTTAACAAGCCTTAGTGCACACCATGATTTGGACCATATTATTTTTCCATGAGTTTTTTTTCTTATTAAAAAAAGACATCCTAACTTTCTTATAAAGAGCCACACATTTAACAAGCCTTAGTGCACACCATGATTTGGACCATATTATTTTTCCATGAGGACTTTGCTTCTCATTCGTTTGCTCTGATAATTCTGATTATATGTCTTTCCACTTTTTTTCCTCTTGAGATAACTTGGTCTAATGTCATTTTCATTTTTCACAATGTTGCTGAAGGGTTTATTTCTTTTTTCCAGTCTCTGATACAGAAGGGTTTATCTGATCCTAATTGTAATTCTATTGACATTTTAGTAGCCAGACAATCCTTAATGAGGCACTACAAAATCTCTGGAGCATTCTATATTTTAAAGAGATGTTCTCATCCATTAGAATATCTGTCTGTTGCTTTCCACATTTACAAACTTTGAGGAATGGGAGTTAATTTCATCTTTATGTTACATTAAATAATTTTTTAACTATATGTAAATCTTTGTGTTTCAAAACCCTTATTTTTAGCTTCCAAAATCACAATCAACTTTCTCAATATTTTTATCTCTTTCCTCTTTTAAGTGCACTATTCTAAGAATTTTAGTAATCATATAGCCATGTAACTATCACCATTATCAAGTTATAGAACAGTTCCAAAACCCCCAAAATTTTACTTCATGCTTAAGTGGTCAACGAGTCCCTACCCCCAGCCTCTGGCAACCTTTGATATTTTTTCTGTCCCTGTTATTTTGCCTTTTCCAGAGTTGTCGCATAAACAAAATCATTATAGTCTAGCTTCTTTCACTTAGGAACATGCATCTGAGGTTCATCCACATCGCTGCATGTATAAGTGAGTGGTTTGTTCCTTTTCACTGCTAAATTGTATTCCATTGTATGATGTCCCTCCATTAGATGATTCACTCACAGCTGAAAGGCTATTTGGGATTTTAGTTTCTGCTGATTATGAATAAAGCTGCTATAAGTATTTGCATCTCCTTTTGTATAAATATAACTTTTTGTTTATCTTGGATGAATAGCTAGGAGTAGATGAGTGGATCTTATAGTAAATGTGGGTTTAACCTTAGAGAGAACTGTTATCCTGTTTTCTCAAGGGGCTGTACCACGAGCAGTGTACAAGAGTTGTAGTTATTCAACATTCTCACCTTCACTAGGTAACAACAGTATTATTTAAACCTACACATTCTCATAAATGTGTCGATGTGTCTACTTATGGTTTAAATTTGAATTTCTCAAGTAACTAATTATGTTGAGTATCTTTTCATATTTGCTTCCCATATATCTTCCATGTGCTTTACTAATTTTCTAATTGGGTTGTTTTCTTACTATTGACTTTTGAGAGTTCTTTATAGATTCTAGATATGAGGACTTTATCAGATATGTATTTTGCAAACATTTTCTCCCAGTTGGCTTGTCTTTTCATTTTCTTAAGCATGTTTTTCAAATAGTTTGTTTCTGCTTTTTTCTTAAACTGTGATTTTTGTCTATCTTAGTTCCCAGGCCCTCATATTAACGAATTTGCACTAACTTCTAATGAACAAAATTATAATACTTCTTTCAGAATTGGAAAGAGTAGAAGAAAAGAGACTCTCTCTAAAGATAACACAGTCCTGTATAACATTTCCTTGAATAATATAGCATTCAAAAATTCTTTTGGCTGAAAGTATCAAAAATTCCAACTTTAGTGGCTTAAGTAAACAAGGCTGTTTTTTCTTCTTTACAACAAGTTTAGAAATAGGCAGCTATTTGCACAAATTAAGGAGCTCCACATAATCAGAACTGGTATGTATACACTTCTTGGCCTTTCTCTTGAAGTTGAAGGTTGCTACCAGAGCTGATTATCTCCGCACTAAGGACAAGAAGTAGAAGATGGGGGAAGGACAATACTTGTACTAACAGAAGCAACATTTTCTCAGAGACTTTTCATCTACTTTCAATTGAATTCCCACGGGACAGAACTGGGTCATAGGGACAGATAATGCTGGAAGAAGGGGATTGACAACAGAAGCAACATTTTCTCAGAGACTTTTCATCTACTTTCAGTTGAATTCCCACGGGACAGAACTGGGTCATAGGGACAGATAATGCTGGAAGAAGGGGATTGAAATGGGGATTCTGTGAGGTTAATCTGCCAAGTGTCTGCCTCACATAGAAATCTTTAAATAACATCAAAATACAAAAAGGCAATAAAATTATTCTATGAAAGTAGAAGACCTAACAATCAAAATGTAGTTTGAAACTTAAGATTTTTTTTAAGAAACTTTCTGCTGGCTAAGCAACTAAATTCTAAAGGCATCATTCCAATTGCATCTGAGATGTGCATATAATAGTAATAATAGAAATAATAGCTAGAGCTATTATAATAAGAGCATAATAAGAATAATGGGTTATGGTTTATGGAACAATGTACGTTATCTTATCTGACTGCCTCTTTGAAGATAGGGTTTTACGTAATAGAAAACCAAAGTGCACAGATGGTAGGTCTTTTAAAGTCACATCAAAAGGGATCCAGGATGAGAAACTCATGATAAAGGTCTGTCATCCCTTACCTACCCCTCTGTACCAATCAGGGTTTTCAAACTCAAGAAGAACTCTGCAATGTACAGTTTGTATTATGGTATTGTCTACACGGCCTGTGTATAAATGAAAGCTCAAAAGCAAAAATCCACTTGCATTAGAATTTTAGCTCTTTGGCTTAACTCTAAATAATGGGAATTCTATTCTAAATTTGGTAAATAAATTGAAGTTAAAGTGAAGCTTTTATTTCATGTGTACTTGTTATTCTCTCAGTGATTAAATTTCCATCCAGAAAAAGTAATCTATTTGCTTTTTAATGTAAAAAAAGTAAAATGTAAATTTTCATTTAAAAAATTTGAAATAGCCCTTCCATAGTGAAAGTTAATGTTATTTCAAAGTTTTAAAAACAACCATAATTTTTTTCTTTCATAAGTTTAGCCCAGGTCTCTAACACATTGACTAGAATAGCTCCTAAATAAATGTTATCTGAAA